ACACATACACATATACACACATACACATACACATACACATACACATACACATACACATACACATACACATACACATACACATACACATACACATACACATACATACACACACCATGCTTGTATGTATATACACAGCCACATACACGACCACATGTCACACATTATGTCAGCATGCAGGTGCAGATGTGTATGTAACACATATGCTTGCATCAAGCATATAACATACATACATACATACATACATATCTACCTACCTACCTACCTACCTACCTACCTACCTACATACGTACGCATTACATACATACATACAGACACCATGCTTGTATGTATACACACGGGCACATACACAACCCTTCGCCACATATTATGTCAGCATGCATGTGTGGATGTGTATGTGAAACATGTGCTTGCGTCAAGCATATAACATATATACATACATACATACATACGTACGTACATACACACGTACATACATACAAACAAGCATAAATACATACACACATACATACATCCACACAGACATACATACATAAATAAATACATACATACATGCATACATACATACATACATACGTAGGTACATACATACATACAGACCGACAGACATAATCATGCACACTTTTGTGTGCAGATGGGGTTTAGCAACAGTAGCATGCAGATGTCATCAGCACAGGCCTTAGCATCGTTCTTACTATCATTATGGTCACGCGGAAATGAAACCATGACGGACCTGAAACATGGATGACGCCGGTCATTCGGTGGGATACAATGGGAATCAGAAAGACTACTATTGCCATCCTCACCATGCTACTGACATCATGGCCACCACCGTCATGATCGCAATAGCAAACAGCACAACATTCATGAAAAGTACGACGGCAACAAAACTCAGCAACAGCAACCGCCACCGAAGCCACCATCGCTCCGTAAAGCTGATCGAAACAGCTCCTGCTCCTACTCTTACTGCTACTGTTACTGGTACTGCTACTGCTGCTACTACTACTGAACTGCTGCTTCTGCTGCGGCAAAGCTGCTACGACGACTACAGGCTACTACGACGACGACTACGATTGCTACTAGTACTACCACCACCACCACAACCAACACGACAACGACGACGACGACTACAACCACGACTGCTCGTGCCAGCGCTGTCATGGTTGATTGAATTGGCATCCCAGGCTCCTCCTTACAGCGTTCGGCGGCTACCTGCGTCTCGGATTGGGGTTTCAGGGCCCTCTGCTCTGTCTGCATGTCTGCATTTCGGAACCGCCAGAAATCACAAGGTCACGTTTCCGGGTTCAGCCCTCAACCCTGAACCGAACCAAGCTAGCATCCTTTAAGCCCAGGCACCCGAAATGCCAAGCTATATAAATTTTACCTTCCACTACGACCGGGACGACGAATTCTCCATCTTCGCCAAAGCCTTGGCCTCAGCTTCATGAATTCATACGCACATACATACATACATACATCATGAGTACATGCAGATATACAGACACATAGATACATACGTACAAAGGTACATACATAGCTACACACACATTTACCCAGCTGACTACCCACCTGCCTGCCTGCCTGCCTAGCTGCCTACCACCTGCCTGCCCGCCTATCTACCATCCACCGATGCATCCATCTATACATAATACATGTATACATACATTCACGTACATGCATACAAGGCGTTCACACATACAAATACACACATGCATGGTTGCGTGCATACATGAATAGAAGCATGAGTACACACAGAGATACGTACATACGTGCACACGGACGTACATACATACATACATGATTGCATGCATTCATGCGCAAATGCATTCATTCATCCTGCACAGACCGACAGACAGACAAACAGGCAGGCAGGCAGGCAGGTCAGGCATGCCTACAGGCCTCATATGTCATGCATGGCCATGCCCAGATTATGAAGGACCAGGTGGCTCGTCTCCACTGCTCCTATGGAATCTGTTGAGGGACCCCTGATTGAGATTGACGCTTTGTGGAAGGCTTTGGGTGGGCTATCTGCTTGTCGGCAACCTATGCAGGAGCTTCCCAGAAGAGGCTCAGGAGTTAAGACTGGTCACTGCCATGCGAGGACACGACGACGGATGTTGGGTTTCCAGCCCCGGGACCAAACCCCAAGCTTGCAGCAACTGGGTCCAATCGAGAGACAATTGAAGAGAGCAAAGCGCTTGATATAACTCATCCGCACTCAGCGTTGAAGATTGGAAGTTTGATGTCAACTGCAAACCTTGAGCCCTACACCGTCACCCTCGGAACACGCAGCCGCCTGCTCGCGAGACTTGGTCTTCTTGAGCTTGGAGGCGCTCTGAGAATTCAAATATCTGCGGGTCGGCGGAGGAGTCGGGACTTGAAGGAGGCTTCGCTGCTTGCATCATGGCTCCAAGCTTTACACCTCTAGGACTCTAGGCGCAGATGAAACTGCAAATAAAGGCTTTCTGGCTCAACGTTTAGGGATAGGCTTGTGGACACCAACTTCTCCGGTTTGATGGTCTGCTGGGGCCTACGACTACGGGAAAGTGCTGCGTTCACGCCAGAAGTTAGAGCTTCCGGGTGTTAGATGCTGCCGTTTGCAACGAGCTCTCTCTTGAATGTGCGGCTTTCTGCGTCGGCATCCTAGTCCTCAGCAGAAGCAACATCGTCACTGTCAGTGCCATCTCATCACCATCGCCATGAACATCAACCTGTCTCTCTCGACGTGCCGACTGGCTGCTGGCCGCTTCTATCTTTCTTTCCCAAGATTTCCCAAGGAGTAAGGGTGGAGGAGCGACCTCCGCCCCTCGCTCTCCAGGCGCGCCATGTACTATGGCTCTCTCTCTTTCTGGCTCTGCTCTAATCCTCATGCTCAGTTTTCCCGGCCCACCTGGTGAACTCTTTGAAGTCCACGGTTAGGTCGCCATTCACGTCTATCTCTCGGAAGAGCACTGCAAGCTCCTCACGGCAAGCTTGCTGCATCGCTTTATTTCGTGCTACTAGAGCCGGGCCTGGTTTGTCCACGAGCTGCCCTGAGATCCGCAGGTGCAGATGCCATGAACTCAAAGATAAAACCCCAACCGAACGAATATTGGAAACCAGCTTTTCTATATACAGTGCTCGTAAGGGGACTTTCAGAGGATGTTATTACTACCTGTTCCGACCCTCTGTACATTACCTCTGCTGCAGGTCTTTGTCACAGGTGGAGCTTGGAGCTTCTCGTGTCCAGCCGTGCAGAACATGAATGTCCGCACTACATCCCGGCTCCCGATACTGCATGTAAGAGTGTTGAGTAAAACATGGAAACTCGATCCCCAAATTGCCCGGTGTTCGACGTGATTCCACACCCTCGGGGTTCAGAGCGAGGGTTTATTCTGCTTGCGCTCTCACAACTCGGCAAGCCAGGCCAGGTCCCTGAATGATTGCATTTTGCTTTCCAGGTTTTGCTTCAGGCGAAGAGCTCAAGGGTCCTTGTCTGTCAATGATGGATTGCCTTCTCGGAGAATGGCGGACATCTCCGTAAAGCTCAGGAGTCCGGAGGCATCCTCCACGACCAGCTTCGGATGTACATCCGACGGAAATGCAAATCTGTGAGCATCATATGTAGAGGCGCGCATGCAATGTACATGTGCATGTGTATGCGTGTGTGTGTGTGTATATATATATGCATCCGTGCTCATGCTTTTGCTTCTGAGTGTGTATGTATGTGTGTGTGCTTGTCTGTATGTGTGCAGATGCGTATATGTGTATCTGACGTGTGGATTATGTGCTTATGCATGTGTGCATTCAGGCGGGTATGCATGTACACATGTATGCATGGAAGCAGCATGAGGCAGGGTTTTTGTACATGCGCATAGATGGATACACGGACAGAAAGACATACATACATACATGCATGCATACATACATCCATGCATACTTTCAGTTTCTTTTATACATACATACATACATACATACAGACATACATACGTACATACATACGTACGTACATACACGCATGCATGCATGCATGCATGCATGCATGCATGCATACATTGCATACATACATACATACATGGAGCAAATCATGTCATATCATGGGACACCCTTCACACCTGGACAGTCGGAGCCGGGGCTCATGCCAAAATTCCACAACACACTGCAACACACCAAACTCAAACCCTCGCAGTTCAGTGTCTCGGCTGTTTAGGCACAGGGCCCTACGCTCTGGACCATAGCTGGCCAAGATCCTTGAGTTCTCACGGCACCTTTCGCCGTGAAGCGTGCCCTCAATCCACTGTCGTCAATCATCAAGCCTGCAGTACCCCAATCCTTGCCCTGTGCTCTCTAGATAAGACACCCCACTCGCTTGCCTTGTCTGCGCTGCGGAATGTCTCCCGGAGTTGCTTCTTCCGAGCCGCGCTCAGCCCCGCCTCCGTGTTTAGACGTGGGTTTCGACTCACACACTCGCAAAGCAGGCATGACGTGGGTTTAAGGTTTAGGCCAGACTCTGAACCGAGCCGCCCGGCGTCAATGGTGCGAAGAAGAGTCTCGAGCTCATGCCGTGCAAAGTGTCGATATAACTCATGCTGTTCACAGTTTCGATTCTTGCTGAGATCGGTCCTAGCAAGAGCAAGCTCTAGGGCTTTAGGGGCCTGTGTGTTTTGACATTCATCAAGTTCAATAGCTGCGCGACATAAGGCCTGCTTCCCGAGACAATTGGGAGGGTTTGAGCTCTCACCACTCTGGAACACATAGCCGAGCCAGGTCTGTAAGCTCAGTCGGGAAAGACCTTCCAGTGACGACCTCTCGAGATTGACCCACAAGAGATGGAGCACCCAGAGGGGACACCGCCTGTTCCGTTGACCCACGTGTCCACGATTAGGCAGGCAAGGTTCAGGCTTCAGGCTTTGGGTTCTGGGGTATGGGTTTCTGGGCAAATGATTGAAAGAGATCGGACCCAGTTCAGTTCCCTGAAACTGTAGCAAGTTTGATCGGCACTTGCGCGTTCGTCGCCATTCCTAGATCCTAAACTTCCTAAAAGGTTCCCTCGCACTCCGACCTTCGCCTTCGGCGCCGGGGCTGGTGACGACATGGCGTGGGTTTGGCCGGATGCAAGGAGCAAGTGAGTGTGCCCGGGGACGCAAAGGGTGAGCCCGGGGACATCAAGGGTGGAAATTTGGTCCCGGCCTCCTGTTGCTTTGGACCAGGTGCCTCAACCTGTCCTCGATGGTCCGTTCCACAGTGTAGAAGCAAGCGAAAACAAGTGCTCCTCAACATAGACCGTGCTGTTATTGATGCAATCATATCACGATTCTGGTTATGAAGGACTTCTAAACCCCAAAGCGCCCGCGGCTGTGATGCCCCGAGCTTGCACCGGCAAGCTGGGAGCCAAGCGGCAAAAGAGAAGTACCGACTGTTTCCACCAACTACTGCTAGCTTTGTTTGCTCCACTTGACGGTTGTCCTAGATGTCTGGCATCATCACCCACATTGCTGAACTTTCCATTCCATTCCCAACAGCTGAGAATACTTGACGAAACAGGTGAAGAAGATTATGGAGAGTAGCAGCAATTCTGGAAGTAGCAGCACTAGCAGCGACCTCAGTAGAACCTCGTGGTGGTACTGGTCGAAGTAGAAGTACAAGTACAAGTAGAAGAAGTAGCAGTAGTACAAGTATAGTAGTAGTAGTAGTAGTAGTAGTAGTAGCAGGAGTAGTAGTAGTAGTAGTAGTAGTAGTAGCAGGAGTAGTAGTAGTAGTAGTAGTAGTAATAATGGTAACAGTAATAATAGTAGTAGCACGAGTATTGGCAGAAGCAGTACTAGTACTCGTACCAGTTCTAGTACTCGTACTGGTACTGGTACTCCTCCTCCTCCTGCTCCTCCTCCTCCTCCTACTACTACTACTCCTCCTCCTCCTCCTACTCCTGCTCCTACTCCTACTCCTACTCCTACTCCTACTCCCACTCCTACTCCTACTCCTACTCCTACTCCTACTCCTACTACTACTCCTACAACTACTACTACTACTACTACTACTCCTCCTACTCCTACTACTACTACTACTACTATTACTACTGCGCAGTACTACCACTAGTACTAGTACTAGCTGAACCAGCAGCAGCAGTATTAGTAGTAGCGGTAGCCGCTACCGTAGCCGTAGCCTTAGCCGCAGCAGCAGCAGCAGCAGCAGCAGTTACAGTAGCAGAAGCACCCCCTGATCCCCCCACCACCCCATGATAAGCCCCCAACAAACACCCCGTATCAGAACAGAAGCAACAACCGATTGCACTCCCACCACGAGCAAGGAGGTGACCGAGACGGCTACGATCAGCCGGGTGAAAAGAATCACAGCTGCGCACCGGTCAAAAGCACCTCCGGGGTAGCAGTAGCAGCAGCACTAGCACTAGCACTAGCGGCAGCCGTAGGCATAGGCGTACTGGCGTACCAGTTGCAGCAGCAGCAAACGTAGCTGTAGACACAGCGATAGCGGCAGCGGTAACGGTAGCGGTTGGGGTCGTGGTCGTGACCTAGTGGTGGCAACAGCGGCAGCAACAGTTGTCGTCTTCGTCGTCCTCTTCCCGTACTTCCCTTTTCACACCTCACTCAAGCACTGCCGAGCTGGTCGCAGCCACTTCATGCAAGCCTTTTTGTTCCTTGTCGGGGCGCTCTTTCTGGAATGGGTCTGGAATTGTTGCCCTTCGGCAATTATCCAGGGTGCTTCGTGCTGCCAACTGTTCTCAGTTCATCACACAAATGCCCTCTGCAAGGCTCCGCAGTCGTGCCGTACGGCAGGCACCTCATTGAATTCGTGCAGCTGCCCGTGCCTTCGGCTCTCACCGACAAGGCGTGCAGCACAGGAAAAACAGACACGTGAAGGCTCGTGCTCCTGGCACCTCTGCCAGTGCTATGGGTCCAAGCTGACCCGTGCTGGCAGAGGCTGGGAAAATGCACTAACAACTCCTTATTAAATCGCACAGAGCAAGGCACACTCTGAACTGGATTTCACAGTACAAGTTCCTTCTTCTTCTTGGTCTCGACCGCCACGACGACACAGAGATACCACCACTCAGCGACCTCCGTCAAGCCCCATACTCCCCTGGGGGCCTACTTCTGCCACATGGTACATGTGAGAGCCTCAACATGATGCAAAAAGCAAAAGCGACAAGCATAATTCTCTGAGTTGTGGGCTCAGCATGCGCGAACTAGGAATGTCCTGAAGCAACACTGGCACAAAGACATCCATCTGGATCCGCCTCTCCCTTACACGGCCCGGCCTGTTCTTTTCGAGAGCTCCGGGCGGACTCTGCTTCTGCCAACTTCTTGAAAAGATGTGCCCGCGGAGGCTCGAGACCAAGTGCTCGAAGTCGCAGAGCGGCTTGTCGAGCTTCTTCGGGCTCGGTGGCGACGTGCAGGTTCTTCCTCATCGAAGGGATTCCATCCTGGTTCAGGCCGAACAGCCACGTTGCAATATGACCACAACACAAACCGGGGCAAACAATGCTCAGGACGGCGCCCTGTGGTATGCAGTGCTGCCCATAGCGTCTCTTGACGAAGGAAAACACTTTTCTGCTGCACTCACCAGCTAGAGCCTCTCGCCACGGCACCGAGCACCAGTGTAGCTGCGTCACTTGTGGCCGTCCAGCTTTTATGCTCAGGACAGTGGGCAAGGCAGTGGAAGCAGCCAAGGAGCGCATTTCTGGAGCACAGACATGTCACTCTGAGGCATCGGGAGGGCATTCTCCGGGTGTTGGCTTTTCTCTAGGTTCAACGCACCTATAAATTGGAAAGCACTCTATATAATTCCGACGTCCGCAGGATGCCGCTAGGAAACCGAGGATTTAGAGTGTCGGGCACGGGCCCGCTACTCAAAATAACTCCCAGCTCAGCTGAGGAAGCATCAACTGTCCGCATGGGTCATGAAGCAAGCCAATCATCACGCCATGCTGGGGCAATCTTCTGTCCGTCTCTGTCCGTCTCTGTCCGTCACTGTCTGTCTCTGTCTGTCTGTGTCTGTCTGTGTATGTCTGTGTCTG